ATTAAGATCATTCACGATTCATGGGAAGAGGTCCAAATATCAACATACATAGGAGTTTTGAAGAAATGAATTCTAACCCTCAGGGATGACTTTGAGGGGTTTAAGGTGTCAGTCGAGGAAGTAACTGGAGATGTGGTAGAAATTGCAAGAGAACTAGAAATGGAGCCTAAATATATGACTGAATTGCTGCCCTGTCATGATAAAACTTTAACAGATGATGAGTTGCTTCTTATGAATGAGCCAAAAAGGTGGTTTCTTGAGAAGGAGTCTACTCCTGGTGAAGGTGCTGTAAAGATAGTTGAAATGACAACAAGGGATTTAGAATATAACATAAACTTAGTTAATAAAGCAGCAGCAGAGTTTGAGAGGACTGACTCCAATTTTGAAAGAAGTTCTACTGGAGGTAAAATGCTATCAAACAGCATTGCATGCTACAGAGAAATCAGTCAGAAAAGGAAGAGTCAACTGAAGCTGCAAGCTTCACTCTTGTTTTATTTTAAGGAATTGCCACAGCCACCTCAGCCTTCAGCAGCCACCACCCTGATCAGTCAGCAGCCATCAGCATTGAGGCAAGACCCTCCACCAGCAAAAAGATTACGACTTGCTGAAGACTCAGACAATGGTTAGCATTTTTTAGCTCTAAAGTATTTTGAAATTAAGATATGTACAATTTTTTAGACATCATGCTATTGCACATTTAATAGACTACAATACAGTATAAATGTAACTTTTATATGCACTGGGAATCCAAAACATTCATCTGGCTGGCTTTATTGTGGTCATTTGGAACCAAACCTGCATTATCTCCAAGGTGTGCCTTTACTTTTTCTGTCCCCTCTTTTGCCCCTCTTCTCTCTGGACTTAGGAGAAATACCCACTCTAAAGGCTCCTAAGAGCTAGTTTCAGGTGTTTGAGTCATGGGTTTGTTTTTCTTTTTAATACTCTTCCTGAATCACCTGACATTGCAGGAACAGCAGAAGTCATTAGCACTCAATTTTATTCTTCAGTAGAAAGAATTCATGTTTTTAGCAGAACATTGAGTCAGAATGATCCTAAAAGATAATTAAGTTTTATTATTCTTACAGCAATGCGCAGGCAGTGAAACAGTTTATTACAGGACACACTACGAAATGTGACAAAGGGCTGTATTACTGTTAGATAACCTTTGAGCTTCTTATCACGTCCACCAGCCCACAAATTAGTGACACTGCAGTTTGTGAAGCCCAGCAATGCCAAGACTCTGAACAACTGGATCTAAGGTCACAAAAGAATAATATGTACCTAATTTGCCTTAAACACAGCTCAGATTGATAAATTTCCACAGCGATTTCATTCAGAATCATTTTGGTTGAGAAATCCTTCTAAAGAAGAGAACCTTGTCTTCGTCCATTTGCAGCTCCCTTTTTAGTTCTTCCCCATTCCTTTGTGATGCCCAGTGGATTATTTTTCCTTTGTGGTTGGGGACGGGGAGGCAAGATTTCTTGCCATGATCTGCCAAGCATCCAGCTCTCAGCGATTTTTCTTCTAACACCATAAAAATATTTTTTAACTGAGGAAACTGGCAGATGAACACTGGCAACCATTATTTCTAAGACTACCATTGCATTTCCACCTACCTCAGGATGCTCCATCTACTAAGATTTTTATAATATGAATTTCATACTTACATACACAAATTTCAGGGTAGAACTTGACTGTTTAAAATCTGATAAGAATGGATTGCCAAGATGGCGGAGTAGAAGGATGCATAGCTCATCCTCTCCCACAAGTACACCAAAAATTACACCCACAGATGAAACAATTCACACAAAATACCTACTGAACTTTGGCAGAATATCTCTTACTTCAGAAATACAAGAGGCTTCCTCACAAAAACGGGTAAATAACAAGTTTCTTCTGTATGGCATAGGGAACTGTATTCAATATCTTGTAGTAACCTATAATGAAAAAGAATATGAAAATGAATATATGTATGTACATGTATAACTGAAACATTATGCTGTATAGCAGAAATTGTCACATTATAAACTGACTATATTTCAATAAAAAATTGAAAGCTATTTATTACTCACTACAAACCTGATGAGGAATGATTTTGGGAGAAATTGCATGAGCTAGGCATTTTTGATGATAATTTATAAATATACATTTGTCACTAGGGTGTTATTCCTACTGAAATATCTTCTCTCTTTTATAACCCATCAAAATGAGGGAGGGAGGATGAGTGAAATTTGGCCTTTTTCTTTTTTACTGAGCCCTTTCTTTTCACTTTAGAGCAAGAACTGTGTCTCTTCCAACACACAGTAGGCACTCAAAACATAGTTACTAAATGAATGTTGGATACTATGAATGGAAGTGATGTGTTTGATGGTTATAGAATGTCAATTGCCTTTGCTTTCTGGAGGACATGGAAAAGTGATGATATCCCTGTCTACAGGAGGAGGGACCAAAATATTCTAGTCCTCTGGTAGGTGATTTCACCTGGCTGGAGGACCCATCATGCCACCCCAACCAGCACTGATTGCTGGTCACTTATGCTTGGAATGGACAGTGCAGTGTCTTCACCCTGAGGAAGGGAAAACACAGCAACCTGTTCTTACCCAGGTCTCTGGGACTACAGCCCCCAACTTCCACTGCTGGCATTGGGCCTGTAGTGACACATTTTGACATTTGACAGTGGCATGTATAATGACAAAATACTTTCAAGTGATGACAGTGAGCTCTACAGTATTGCAACGCTATTTTACTTTTCTTTATGAACTCCACCTATTTGAAAGTATCTAATAAATCATCAGTAAACCCGAGAAAAATCTACTCTAACTCCTAATTCCTAAGGTATGAAAATGAGTATTTTCCTCCATTCATTTGAAAAAAATATCTAGAGATACAAGAAATATCATGTGTGTGTATTTCCTCTTTTCCTTCCTTCCTTCCCTCTTTCTCTTGTGGTGGACCCCATTCAAAATCAACCTTGGACTCCTGTCTGAGTAACTTTGCCCAAAGCATAAGTCCATCCATCCATCCATCCATTTGTTTGTTCCATCTCTTAACTACCATCCATTCATCCATCCATCCACCCATCCATTTATCGACCTATTGATTTATCATCCAGCCAAACAATCATTGATCTACATTCATTGATCCAGCCATTTATCTGTCTGTCTAACTAGCTAGCCAGCCACTCATATGTGTGTCCATCCAACTCTAAGCCCATTAGTTGAGTGGCTACTCTATGCTGAGTCCAGTTCAGCTGTTTTACAAAATATCTTTTAATTTGGATTTGTCTGATTAGTTCCTCCTGAGAGATTCAGATCAAAAAGAGTTGGTGATGGAGTGAGGCAGGGACACAGAACACAGAATTTTATTAAAAAACTTATCTATCTATCTACCCACATGTGTGTGTGTGTGTGTATATATATACATATATATATGTGTGTGTGTGTGTGTGTGTGTGTGTATTTATTCTTGGTACATCACATTTGGAGGCACTTGCCAATTTGTCTCATTGTTAGTGATGTTCACCAAATTTCTCCCTTTTCAAAATACAAATGTCTCTTTATGATATGTACATTGCTTATAAGGGTGTTACATCGAGACCCTGTGAATATCCTGTTCCCTAATCATCTCACTGAAGGGTTTAGTATCCATTGATGAGCCTCCTTAGAATCAATTATTATATGGTGCTTTTCTTTTTCTGTTACAGCTTCTATATTAGTTGTCATTCTTTTGTAAACAAGAGCTGTCTTTTCGCTCTCCCTTCTTCCACCATATTCTTTAAAGACTTTAAAATGGGTTCTCATAGGACTAATAGGAAACTACCTTAATCATCAATAGAGCATCTTCACCACCTCCTCACCCACTAGAGACTCACTAAGGCTCTAAGGGACTTTCACAATGGTGGGAGTCCATCCTGGTCACCACAGCAATGTCCACCATCCCAGCCATGTGATCCATTCAGGTCTGCCTCTTTGGGGTTTCCACAGATTTCTGGGACAAGAGAATCTTTGACAAGTCTGGGAGCCTCATGCCTAACATCATGCCTCCATGGTGCCCCAACATCTAACTTGTGATAATCCTCAGGGAAATTCTTCTTCCCCCTGGCTGCCTAGAGGTACCCACATCTCTTTTCTCCCCCACCTCTATGAAATCAAGCATAATTGGCTCAGTGTCTTGGTCTTTCACAAAAGACAGGAACACTCTTTAAATTCAAGGCTACAACTTTCCATACTTCAAGGAAATATTAACGACCTGGTTATCACTTGTGTTGGGTAGCAGGGTCTACAAAGGGTCTGAGAATAAGTAACTTAAAAATGTATCCTGTTATATAGAGTGTTTTGGAATGACCTGGAATTATAGCTATGAGTTGTAATGTAATTAGTAAAATGTGTTCTGAGTTCCAAAAACCTGACTCACAGATGAATGCAGCTGTTCTGTAATGAGTAGAGTCAACAGTGCTGTCTACAATTTATAGTGGTTATGTCCTTTCTACAAAGTAATATGGATTTACTTCTTGATATCTCATTTAAATCTGATTTTTATTCAACATTTGCAGATCATTAACTTGCAAATATTATAAGAGGAATTTATTACTTTTTAAAATTCAGTTTTTCTTAAATTGTTCTCCTAGAGTTATGTCTTTAACTTGCCAAGTTATACATTTTCTTCACATTCTGTCACGCAGTTTGTGTGTGTGAATGTACATGCCTGTACATGTGTATGTGTGTTTGTATACAAGCATTTGTTCATATACATATTCATATATATTCTACTATTCCAAATAAAACCACTTGTTCTGATATGTGTGTGTGTGTATATATACATATATATATAATCCATGCAGACTTCTAATCTTGATAGCGTCTTTTTTTACCTCATCAGCTCTTTATGATCTTTGAAATTTATTTTAAAATACACATCATCAATTTTTCCATTATTCTACGGTTTCTCTTCCCCTTCTTGATCTCCATGCTTGTACAGAAGACCATGCTTTCTCTTCCTAGATGCCAATCATTCTCTTTATGTGCATTCAGGAAGAATGAAGGACCGTCTGAGATGGAAGACACTGAAGATAAGTGTGAAAACACAATCACAGTTGAAAATGGCATCCCCTGTGATCCCCTGGACATGAAGGGAGGACACATCAATGATGCCTTTATGACAGAGGATGAGCGGCTCACCCCTCTCTGAAGGGCTGCTGTTTTGCTTCCCCATGAAACTCAACACTTGTTTCTGTGCAACTGCTGAACATCACAATTTATCAAAGGCAGATTATATATTTTGTTTCACCATTCTTCTTTTGTAAGAAATTTTAAATGGGCATGAAATTGAAAGGCAATGAATTATACCCATGAAGACCATTGAAATCATAAGTGGTTGACCATTCAAAATGTTCTGAAATATTTCTCTGACAACAGAGTGTGTAAGTGTAGTCATGTAGTGTTTGTAGTTATTGGTGTTAAAGTGCATTAGTATTTAAGCATCTCCAGAAATAAGGTCAGACCAGTACACACACACACACACACACACACACACACACACACACACACACACACATATATATAATCTCACATTTTGAAGACCTAAGAAAATTTTTTCCAGTGGATAATGCCTGTAATACAGTATATAAATCATGGACAATGGGCCCTTTTTGAATATCACTTACATCACTTTGTATATGACTAGATAAGCAAGAACAACAAGTAATTACTGTAAATGAGATGGATAAAAATGGGAGTGTTGACACACAATGTGGAATTTGATCCTATTATCATAACAACAGTTGCTTATATATATTTTCTGACTACCAGTCTCTAATAGGGCAGCTCTATTCATTGATTATTTCCACAATTTGTAAAAGTACAATCTATGCTAATTTAATAAAGTACTAAACATCTCTTTTTGATTAAGTGACTGATTGTGGTCTGAGATTTATTTTGACACTGCGGAACATACTAGGCCTAATTTTTTTTTATGTTGTCTTTAACCTGCTCTTCAGCCCTAGAAATGAATTCTTTTTGTTGTATGTATCCTTGCTTGAAGACACCTTGTAGTTTTTAGATGTGATTTTACTTCCAGTTAGGCCGTGTGTCATTTTAACTGCTGATAATAAATATTATACATTTATTAACAGAAAGAAAATTTGCTGCTCACTCTCCCAGTGCCATCACCCATAGTTGGTGTTACAGCAGTAGTCTCTCACTCCCTTCCCTGCCTCCAGTGAATACAAACTCTAAGATGAGTCATTGCATACACAAGGTTTATGGGGGCGTGATCTCAGGAGATACACCTGTAAGAAGTGAGGAAGGCAAGTGTGGCAGACAGACTCTAAGGTGTCTGCCATCTCCTGATGTTCACGCCTTCATATCATTCCCCCTCCTTGAGTGAGGGGACCTGTGACTTGCTTCTAATGAACAGAATACAGCAAAGGTGTCACTCCTATGATTAGCTTATATTATGTCTGAGTCTGTCTTGCTAGCAGACTTGTTCTAGAGACTCTCCTTGCTGGCTTAAGTGGCCATGCTGAGAAAGCCTACATGGAAGAAACTGTGAGCAGCCTCTAGAAATTGCTGGTGGCTGGCCTCTCAGCACCAAAGACAGCCTCCAACCAGCGGCCAACAAGAAGCTGGAGTCCTCAGTCCTACAACCACAAGGAAATGAGTTCTGTCAACAACTGGAGTGAGTCTGGAAGCAGATTTTTCCCCAGTCAAGTCTCCAGATGAGAATGCAGTCTGGCGAACACTTTGATTGCAGCCTAAGCAGAGGACCCAGTTAAGCTGGGGCCAGACTCCTGACCCATGGACATTGTGAGATGAGAAATGTTTGTTTTTTAAGCCACTAAGTTTGTGGTCAAGTGTTATGCAGCAATAGGAAACTAATCAAGTAGGATCAAGCAGAGGGAGAAGTGACCAGAAATATGGTTACATCAGAGGCCTCAGCCAGTCCTGCAGGGAGCTTAGGAGCTGAGGTTGTCCCTGACTAGCTAATGTGGCTGGATCTTTGTATCTCCACATTAGCCAGGTATGGCCATGGGTGCTCTCTGGGAGAGAATCTCCCCTTGGAAAAGGCAGTTCCCTGAGGCTGAGGGCAATTCTCATTGAAGGACTCAGCTCTGAGCCTTCAAAAGCCAATATTTCCAGAAGCTAGGTATGGGTATGTGGGCCCTGAAGGGGGTGCCTGGTGGACCCCCAGGTCCATTGATTGCATTGTAGCTTGGATGAATATCCAAAATGCAAACCTGATTCTGTGGTTTCCTAACAGAAAAGCTTTTAAAAATGGTTTCTTATTCTCTTTAGGAGAAAGCCAGATTCCTTAACACAGGGCCTGCTGCAGTTTGATTCCCACTTTCTTCTCTAACTTCATCTTTCACCCTTCTCCCCTTTCTGTCGCTCTGTCTCTCTCTCTTCCACCCAATCATAAAAGATCTCTCACTTCTCACAGGCCTTTGACCAAGCTGTTCCCTCTCCCTGGAACACGCTGCCCTGTCTTCCAGCCACTCCTCCAGCTTGTCCTTAGAGTTTCTCTCACTTAAACCTCTCATCCTCCTAGAAGTCTTTGCTGGACCTCCAGGTTTTGTGCTCCTAGACTGCCCAGATAATGATACTCATCTCATTATGCTAGAAGTATACTACATTTAAATGCGTTTTTGTACAAGAAGGAGACCACAAAGGCAAGAGTGCTCTGGGGCCCACCTAAGTCTTCTAATACAGCCTTGTCTCCATAAATGTTTTCATAACTCGCTTCACTTTCCTCCTACCTCTAACCAGATAGAATTAACCATTGCCTTGTAACCTCACCATATCTATACATCTTTTCAGCTAAATGATTATATTTCATTTTTTTATTTGTTTACAATTCTGTCTTCACACTAAATGTTATGTGTTTAGTAGCAGTGTTCAAGTCACTTAGCACAGTGCCTTGTCTTCCTATTTCATTCCCTTCCTTTCTCTCTTCCTTCTTTCTTTCCCTTAATCTGTGATGGTGAGCAAAATTGAAAACAGCCCCTACCCGCATGGAGCTGAAAGTGTACATAGTCAGAGCTCAATAAATGTGTGCTAATAAACAAGCAAATGAGATGGTGGCTGTTGCAAGCTCATAGTCATCCCTTCTGAGAGCAAAGCCTACGCCCTCTCTGTACGTGGAGGAGTTTGAATTTGTGGGTGCAACTTTTTTGACTTGGGAACCATATGGTCTTTAAAATTATTAGGACTTTCTTGTTTTTAGGAGAGGAATGAGATTTCAGTTGGCAGTATATTTTTACTAAAGAACTGTTTTCTATCTTACATCCTTTTGAGTTGTATACTCCAGAATAGGTTAGCTTTGCATATAGAATTGGTGAAACATCATCTGAATTCTGTCACTGTGCACTAGTAAGCATAATCCCAAACATGCATTCTCAAGAGGGTGGAAGTTGTTCTTGGTAGGGAGAAAAAAAGTTTAGATATTGCAATGATTTATAGTCCTCTGAAGGACCACAGTACATAAACAGATAAAAAGTATATCTATGGTATTAAAATTTCCTATATGAGCTATTAGAAAAAAATGTCTGAGAAGTCTGAATAATGGAAAAGAAAAGAGTGAGAAATACTGATCCTAGATAAGCTTCTTGTTTTGAAGGTGTGGGATGAACCAATTTGATCGCTAGATCATTTTCTTTACTGGCTGTTTATCCTGAAGCTGAGGGCATTTGTTTCACTTGCAAAGGTCTGCTCCACTAAATATCCTTGTTGGGGAAGTTTTCCATGCTAGCAGAGATGTGCTGTAAACTTGACAATCAATATAACAGCAAAATGGAGCTTATATCTCCTGCCTACGGCCTTTGACAAATACTCTGGGTAATCAGAGAGCAGTCAATCATCAACTGTACCTTGAATCTTTAATTTAATTATCCTGTAATGTCCCAGAAGGGGACACATTGCAAGATGATATGTACTGGAAGTAAAATGTTGTAAAGCAAGTGAAAAAACAGCTGTCACTCCAGTCTCCAAGTCCTTAGCAAAAACTATGATGAAACTGGAAAGACGGAAGCATCTGAAAATCAGGTCACTACAGAAAAAATTAGCTGAGATAGTAATATCTGGACTTGCTACACAGAAGAAATGTAAATGCAAGTAACTTGTTTTCCACAAGGACTAACCAAGATAGCACATCACTATATCAAAGAATGCAGTGAGCTCTTGCATTTAGAATGATATGTGATCAGAGTCCAGATATTAATATCACCAAGCGAAGTATACACATTTATCATCCCTGGATAAGGAATAAAAAATAGGAGCGAACACAGGTTAAGAATCAAAAAGAGTATAAAATCCCTCAGAGTCCAAATTCCTAGTACTTATTTCAAAGTCATGGGGCCCCTTAACATAGTATTTTGTTTTCAATTTTGCATCTTGTTTTCTTTCATAAAAAATATTACATGTCTAGTTACCTCAATTACATAAGAAAATGTATGATAATTTTCTTTCCTTCTTTCCTACTATCCTTCCTTTGCCCTTCCCTCTGGCCCTTCCTTCCTTCCTTCCTTCCTTTCTACCTCCCTGCCTCAAGAATTTATTGAATGGACATTCTATGTAAGGTAAGATGCTAGATTCAGGAAATAAAAAACAAAATTTCCTAGAAGGGACCTGTTCATTATTTATGATATGGTTAAGTTTATTACTAAGAATACCATTCTCTTTTAGGAAATTTTGGTTTGAATGAGTGAATAATTTCTAGTTATTATTTTTTTACATTTTTTTTACTGAGCTATGGTCATTTTACAATGTTGTATCAAATTCCAGTGTAACGCACAATTTTTTCAGCTACGCATGAACATACATATATACATTTGTCACATTTTTGTTCACTG